CAGTACTTTTATACAGATACTGGGATAAGAGAGGTACGGTAAAAAAGTGTGTAATCATTGATTTTTCAGACATCAGAAGCAGGCAAATTCTAGAGGGGTTCAGTGCACTGTGGTTACATTGATTCACAATCAGGCTCAACATTGTTTTTGGACAAAGACCAGCAGGGGCTGTATGTGCGGATGCCTGACCACTCGGACAAACAAGACAATTATGTGAGCTCTAAAGGTGTATTGTTATAATGTATCAGACAGTCTGCCTCCTGCTTGGCAAAATCAACCTTCCATCTCCATCAGAACTGTGCACACTGTTTTGTAAATATACTTGAAAGCCAATTTTAGAATAAATAAATCAGGCTTTAACGGTTCCAGAAGAGATAGACTTCCGCCTTTGTGACACGTGATGGTGTGACGTTGAACTGCCGAAAAATGTCAACTATAGATTCTTTTCACTTTTGTCTATATTAAAAGAACCTTTCTAAGCCTCAACAATGACATATTTAACATTTTGCATTCATAAATACATGTTTGCTCCAAAAACCACAACATGCTGTGTTCATCTCATTAGAAAACATAGAATTTTTTACTGAGAGCTCTTATGAACTGAAACCTATTGAAGCTCTTTTGAGGAAAACGAGAAATTATCTATGTCAAAACATGATTAAAAAAACCCAATAAGTTGCATGGGTTATAAAAGCGTGGTTTAAAACATTAGGTAGTCCAGCTTTAAGCAACATCCCCCCACGCCAGACAAACAAGAAAAACCAAATCCATGCTTCCTGTTAATAACCAAATGTCTCTTTGCTGTGGCTTATGCATAATTTTCTCGGTTTGTTAAAATAAAAGTTGAACTAATTACCCCCAACCTGTCACCGAAATGAAATCTATCTCACACCAGCAGGTGCGGCACCCTTTGGTTCCAATCAATATAAACAGAATTAGTATGACTGGCCAGGCTCGACTCAGACAGTATATATTGAGAATGTTGTCATAACAAGGAAATAGATGTATTTTAAAGAAAACGCATCATTTTTGAATCTTTTGAATGTTATGGGAAAAGAACCAGATGAATTGGTGAATGAATAAATGTTGACGTTCTGCCCCTTATTCAGAATGAACAATTATTCCGAATAGCCTGTGGCCGTAATGGGAATAGACCATAGACGATGTAATGTGATGTTGCAGTATTTGTTTGGGTTATAAGGATCAGAAGCAATGTGCAGGACCGTAATTGACAACAGCACTGCATTTCATGTTAGACAGTAGAGATGAATGGATTTCTACAAGACATCTCTGAGATTAAACGCTAATACAATATCATTTACTTTCTGGTCTCGTGCCAAGTCCGTCTAGGAGCTTAGATGAACGAGATTTGGCAGAGTTGAATCGTAATAACGACCTATGACAGTGCTGTACAGAGATGGAAGGCGAGAGAGAGAAGGGGGAGCTCACCAAAGAGATTTTCGCTTCCTTTCAACTCCCTGAAACAATGCGAGCAAAGTATTGACGTCTGGAGACTTTTGACGGGAGCCGTGCGTAAAGTCTGGGATGAACGCAGTAGGAGGGGAAGCGCTAAAGTCGAGATTGAAAGCATAAAGTGTGTAAATGTCCACGAATTGATTGTGTATTTTATTTATTTATTTATTTTGGCGGGCTTATTCACAGCGAGCACAAGACCCTGGACTGGAATTGTTGTTTTGACCTTTTGGCGAGGAGGTAACATTAAATTGAGAGGCGTTATGGACTTGCTCTTGTCCAGAACGAAGCGCACGCAGTGACAGCAGTGATAAAGCACGCCACGCTGACCCCCATCCCTTTATGCAATAAAACAAGAGGGCTGATGGATTTCACTAGTCCATGTTTAGTGACACGGATTAGCGAGCCAGATTCATCATTGTGCCTGATATATCAGTCTGTAAAGTGCACACTGCTCTCAAGTCTCAAGTGCTTAAATGTGGATTTATTTGGCCGCGCTGCCTTTTTATTCTCAAACATAAATCCATACCAAGAAGATATTACGCATGCACTCTACAGGCTACATGTTGCTAGTCAAGGAACTGCATTAGATCGCTTAGCCAATGCCAAAAGTAGACAAAATGATAACAAAACAACGCAATAACGATTCAAGATGAAGATAAATTATTAAAAACACCATATGTCAGAAAGTATACATCAAAATGAGCAGAAATGTTAATGTTGTCGAAAATGAGGCTACTTAAAAACTATGCTAATGTCCATGGAAGCGCACGAGACCCACCAGCTGCGTCTAATTACCCAGGTGCGTCATTCAGTGAGTGTGTGCGTGTTATAAAGTCAGTTCAAAATCGCCATTGTGAGCGTTTCTCCACACTCACCTGCCTTTGGTCCACCCTGGTCCGACGGGATGCAACTTGTTCAGAAAGACGTCGCTCCCACTCCCGCTTTACCCGCTCCACAAGACGCGAATGAAACCCTTCCAAGAGCCGCTCTGTGCTGTGACTGCGAGAGAGGGAGGGAGAGAGCGGAGGAGAGCGAGCAGCCAATCAGAGCGCAGACTGAAGGCGCGAGGATGGCGCGAGGATGCGGACTCAGGGATGCTCTGCTGCTGCTGCTTCGACTGCTGTGTTTGAAGACTGGGGATTGATTTTGAAGCCACACACAGGCCGTTTGTCATGCCTGCCTGAGCTGATGGCACAGGGGAGACATAAATGTATGAGCCTTAACTGCAATGGGCCATTCGTATAAAGTGGAGCTAGGTAAAGCGCTGTATGGAAATCCAAGGTGGCAAAACTACTAGCGATTAAAAGTAGAAAATAAAAGTCTATAATTAAAATAAGAGTCTAACAAGTGTTTAAACGAGCAGAATGGTCTTAGAATTACAGCTAACAACAACAAATTCACTTACAAGTATTACTAATGTAGTGGAAAATTACGATTAATTATATGAATAACATGAGAAATGGTATAAATACTCAACTAAAACTCAACACAGAGACGCTCCACACACCATTCCACTGATAAGAAACCAGGTGTGTGGAGGAGGCTCATAAATTAGATAACTCTTCCTCCTTTCACCCTTCCCGAGTCTGGGAAAACTGCTTTGTTCTGGGCAGAAGAGTTTAGCGGGTCTCCTCGGAGGTTTGGCTTTGCTCTTCTCCACAACTTGGATTCACTTTATGGAATTATCATGTATGTATTTCATTACTTTATTAAACCACACAGAGACACTTGTTGGCCTCGGATCATTCTAAATTTGACCATAACACTAACCACTTAAAATCTGTTTTTGAGCTAAGGCCCCATCTGCAAAGTGAAGTTTAAAATGTGGTTTAAAAAGTAAGGAGCAAAAGTTGAAATACAGGTATGTAGTAAAGGACCAGGAAAAACTTCTTAAATACAGTACTTAAGTAAATATATTACAATTATTTGCAGATTATTAACAATTATTAACAGATGCTGTGACCTAAAGAGCTGTTGCTGATTATTACTATTGTTAGCTTTTTAGAATGATCATATTTTTTATTTTTGCTGCTACTGGACACTTGAAATTCTCCTACGGGGATCAATAAAGTATCTATCTATCTATTAGTCATTTATATTGAAACTGTTTTAGTTGACCAATTTCACAGTGTTTCCTGGACGTTTACTTTTAACCTGGTTTTATTTATGTTCTTCTCTTGTGCACAGTGGGGACTTTTGCAAATGTGGTTTTACTGAAAATGGCAAACACATGAATCTAAATCTAAATGTCACCATGTATATTTTTATGTCTTCACTTTGTTGCATTTCCGAGAGGAAAGTTTGCCACTCCATTTAAACTGAAAAATACTTTACAAAACGTCTTTTACCAGATTCATGATATCCCACATGTCTTGGGTTAAATGTCAGTATGGAGTACAATGGTTCACTTAAAATAAATTACTGAAACCTTGAGATCTAATGATGAATAACCACATTTGTTCTCTCTGGAATCAATACTTTTTATATTAATACTTTTATGTCATACTTAAATCTGTTTTGTCCAATATGACGCAGTGTACTTCCACCTCTTCATGTGATTGCAGTGATCCTATAAAAACATCATGATTATTTTCTCAAAACGCCCCAAAGTTGAATGAATATATAATTAGGCATTCCAGGCCATAATATTCTCAGTATTAACAGCTGGGCATACAGTTTAATGAAGCACTGCTGGTCAATATATGCAGGAGAAGTGGCAGTTGAAAGTGTTTATGGGTTGGCAATGAAGTGAATGAATATAAAAAACACAATTACACTATACCAGGGGTGTGTTGAGGGTAAAGATGCATAATTATCAGAAAAGACACAATGAGGTGCTAGCAGGATGCAAAGAGCACAGAGGGCGCACATACGAGTACAGTTATAGTCGTAGGATTAACATAGGATACTTGACTTAGATGCAGTGTTTTGATTCAGGAACCGAAGAGGAAAAGTATCTGTCTGAAGTGACACAAGACACCTAATGGAAAAATCTATAATGCCTACATCGCCTGCTCCATCAGTAAGAAATCGATATGCCTTTCACCAAAGCGATAGGAACTGGACCATGTTATCAACGTTGGCCATACATCAAATAACACAGCCGTGCAAGCTGCACACAGCAGGGTATCACAACAAATCCTTTTCGTCTGGGCACTTTCTGAATAAAAAGTCATTATCCAGCAAATAGAAATGAAAATCTTTTATTCAGACTCAAAGAAAAGCTGACAGCCATTGGTTCAAAGTCAGAAAACAGTCTGCAATGTATGTTGTTTCTATGGATTCTCATGAAAAAATGACTCTGATAAGAAAGCATTTCAAAAGGGAGCAATATAGAAATGTAGTCAGGCACATAAAAGATACATCCATTGCTATTTTCTGCACACCAGGTGCATTCAGCCAACATCAAACAGTTAAACATAGAATAAAAGAATGAAGTCAAATGAGAAAAGTACAAAAACCATCGCAACGAAATCAGAGCGTGTGATCTCTCCATGGACATGTATTTTGTCAGTGAGTAGAATTTATGAGTTTTCATCGTCGTCGTCATAGTATCTGTTTCTCTTGATCTGCTCCTCCACCGTCAGGCTATCGTCATCAGCCCACAGAGAGAAGGGGTTGTGGCTTGGGACTGAGCTGTCATCTCTACCCCTTGCGGTCTGCTCTTTATCTGAGCTCGCTCTTAGATCCATCCCGAAGTCCAGAAGGTCGTCCAGTGCTGACACAGTAGGCTTCTCAGCAGCAGATTCACTGATGTCGGGCTTTGCATCAGATACCGTGCCAGAGCTGCTTGTACTGAGGCCGCCGAAAATGTCCTCAAGGAAGCTGCTGGATGAGCTAATCTTTGGCTCTGTGGCCTCATTCTGGAAAAAGAACGCTCCCTGGTCGCTCTCCCCGTAGAAATTTGTGTGTGAAAAGCATTCTGTGGCTTCAGAGTTTTTGGCACTAGCTGGCACAAAGGCATCATCCCTCTGTGCCAATTGCAACACTTCACTTGGCATCCATTTTGAATCATCGCAGTCAATGGTTTGGAAAAAGTCAAAATCGTTGTTTGTCATAACGTGCCATTGTGTTTCAGTCGAGTCACTTTGAGGAAAGTCATCAAACATGTTTTCAAGCTCTTCCACTGTCAAACTATTATTGTTATTGTTTGAGTTAGCATTAGCTTGTTCCTGATCTATAACTGTGACTTTGACAGCCTCATTATCATTTGTCCCATTTGTGTCCATCACCTCCTGTGTCTTATCGTCACCCAGCTCCTCTCCTATGTGCCCATTTTCACTCACTTCCTCTACGCTTTTCACATGTGTCTTGTCAACGTCATCTCCAGTCCCCTTCACTTTACTTTGTTTTTTCGCTTCCACTCCAGGCACTACTTCAGAGTCCATTTGGGAACCCACTTGTGGCCCTGTGTGACTGTGACTGTTTGACTCCAAAGTTTGCTGAGTGGGAGAATTACTCACTTGTTCCGATGCTACATTCTGAGAGGCTGCCGGCACATCTTCAGTCTTTCCCTTCTCCACAACAGTGCTGCTGTCATTTTGTGTCTCTCTTGATGAGGATTGAGCAGGTTTATTCAGAAGGCTGTCTTCCTCTTTAGGGGGCCATGAAGGCTTAACTAGTTTTAACTCATCCTCCAATGAGAATGCTTTCTTTGGGTCATCTGCCTGTGGAGGCCAAACCACAGAAATCTTAGCGGCTGATTTTTTGTTATCGTTCACACCATTCTCTTGGCTGACTTCAGCAGTGGCAATATTGCTTGAGTATTTTAAATCCACATGTTTCCTCGACGTTGATGGAGATTTAACTTTGGACGTTTCAGCTGAAAGTTGCTGGTTCTTGTTATTCCACAATTCTTTATGTGGTTTCTGTCCAAATCCTTCATCATAATTTCCCTTGGACTTGAACAGTTGCTTGAAGTGTGGCTTGCAGTACATCCGTCCATGGAGAGAGGCATAGTTACCTAGGCTAAAAATACAGAAGGCAAGTTATACAGGAGCAGAGGGGATAAAATAAAAACAGAAACATACATTGCAGGATAAGCTTCTGTACCTTAGAGTGCCCTTGCAATGTTCGCAGCGAAAGCAGCTTTTATGGAAGCTTTGTTTGTCTGCGATCAGGGATTCCATGGGGTACACTCTCTTCCGACATGCCCTGCATAGCTCGGACTCTGGAACTCGAATTTTCTGCAAAAAAATAGATTAAAAAAATTACTCTCTATTGCACAGTATGAAACAATAATGAATTCTATCTCCTTATTGAAATAGTCTATTATTCTATTCCTAAGCCAGTCATAAAAACTACATTACAGCACTAATGGTATGATTTGTGATAGGTTTAGCGTCATAAAATCACTGTTTAAAAAAGTATTTAATATATAGTACTTAAACCCTAATCACTGCAAAGGCACTCATCATCCAATAGTTTTCCAATGAAACTGTAATCAGGCACTAATGTTACTTCCTAAAACAACAATATCACACTCAAGCCGGAGTAAAGTATTAGTTCAATACACAAACAGGGGCTTAAATCATGCATATCAAAAGTGTCAACCCGAAATGCAAAGTCAAGCTGGGCTATCATAAAACACACGTCAAATAAATGCATTCTGTTATGTCCTTTCCACACATGTCAGTTTGTTTGGGTCCACATGCTCCAGGCAGTTTACCCGTCACTACTGTCTCCTGCTGATGATGTGTCACAATCTGGGAACTCCTCTGCTCGGTGACGCTGAAGTTAAGATTCTGTAAAACTCCCTGGCTCTGGGCCCATGACTGCTGGAAGTTCCTCAGCAATTCTTCCGTGGAGGCGTCTTGGGGCAAACCCTCCACTTTGCCTCTCACCACGTCAGCGTACGAGGGCGGGCTCCCACGGGTCACCGAGCTCTCGCTACGCATCTCGCTACGCATCTCGGTCGCACCTCTCGTCAAGTTCCCGAAGCCGTCAACGCTGCAGAACTGCTCGGAGACAGATGTGGCAGCAGAGTGGCCGGCTGGCTCAGATTCGCGTCTCTCAATCTGCTCACGGATTTCTCTTGCAGCCTGTGAACTGAGCTCCCCGGTTTCAAACACATCTTTTATAGCTTTAACACAAAAGCTGGGGATTTCCTCTGTTTTAGGAGTGTGCACCTCAGTTTCTACTTCATCTGGATCCACACCAAGTCTCTCTGTTATGACAATGGGCTCCTTTCTGGTGTATCTTTTTAGTTTAGGAGATTCAAATCGATTCACAAGTTTGGACAGGTCAACTCTGGGGAGATCATCTTTTAAAATCTCAATAGGCACAGAAACACCGCCCTCCTCTGTATCGGGTCCCAGGCGTTCAGGGATATCTATAGGATCCTTTCTTACATATTCCCTACTTACTTCCGCCTTTTGCGCTTCCTCAAAAAAACTTTTCTTGTCTCTAACAGTCATCATGGAGTCCACCATCTCTGTCGTGTCGACTAGTCCGTGCTCACTCCTTGTGGGGGTGTCTCTGTCACTACAGGACGAGGAACGCTCTCTTTCCATCATAACACAGTCAAGTACAGGCATTGGAGGCGGGGGGGTGATTCCGCGGGACAGTTTAGAGGTGGTGTCTCTAAGTTTCATCAACTTCTCAGAACGGCTTAAAGTGGGAGAAGGAGAGGCTCTGGCGAATGTGGGTGTGTAGGTCTTGCGGGGTGGGGGTGGTGGAGTCCCAACAGATTTGTATGGAGGAGGAGAGGGGGTCACTCTGAAGGGGGAGTCTGTTTTTCTTGATTCAATACTGATGAAGGTTGGAGATGGTGTGCGGATGCTGGCCAAAGGAGAGGATACTCTATGTTCAGCCTTGGCCACCTCAGTCACCTCTTGATGGACTCTTGTTTCCTGAATAACATTTTTCTCTACTTTTTTCTTACTTTTTGTGGAGCCAATGCTAATTTTTGAAATCTTAGCCCCACTGAAACTTTTGTCTGGCTTGGGTGGCACCACAGGGGCTGGAGATGGGGACATTGTATCTTGTTGTTGTTCCGTCTCAACCGTTATGCTTTGCTCAAAAAACATGAGCTTGGCTTGAACAATTGTCTTTATATAAATGATCATCTCCCTGAGTTTCTTTTTATTTTGTAGTTTGGCGATTTGTCCTAAATTCCTTCTCTCATCTGAGCTCACCATCCAGTCAGGAAGTTGGCTAATAATTAGCGAGACAGTGTTGAAGTCGATTTTGCTTTGCGAGCCCTCAAGTTCTTTGATTTGAACTAGCAGCTTCTGCATGACATTACATTTCTCTGAATCTGTCATTTCTACTGACTGTGCTTCTACCTTCTGGATCGTTTTCTCTGTTCCTTTCATCAATACCTCTGGGTTCTCCCCTTTTGGCTTAGACGCTTTGATCTGCATTTTATTTGCCTCGCCTCCTTGCTGTTTTATTTGTTGTTTTTGTGTTTGTACAGCCTCTTGACTGTGCACTACTCTCTCCGTCACCACCACTGTCTCTTTCTGTTTTTGAACGTGCTCGGCTGTGTGGCTCTGGCCTTGATGACTTGCTGTTATCTTAGCCACCTTGGGCATTAAAACTGTAACCGATGGCGACAGCCTTACTTCGCTCTCATTCGTTGGGATCTCTTTCCCTTTTTTCACTTGAACTTCCACCTCTACTTTATTTGAAGCCTGAGTCACTGGATCATTCTTCTCCTTTAGGTTCACTTCAATTTTACTCACTGCATTTTTTGCTGAGCTCAGCTGGTTGCTTCCATGTGTCACCCTTGTCTCACTTTTCTGTATGATGTGACTTTTTTCCTGCAGCATTTCACTTTTTATTGACTCCTTTTGTGCTGGGATGCCAGATGTGTCTACCTTTTTCTCTGTCGGCATCTTAAACGTTTTCACCTTGAAACTTGGAGTTACCTTTGGGATTTTAGTGGGTTGAGAAGGAGCCATTTTTGCCTCTTGTGTCTCTGACACATTAATATTCTTTACATCTTCAACTTTCAATGTGACCGCAGCCTGGCTTTGAAGATTTACATTTTCCTGGACAGCACTCTGTGTGGCAGAGATAGACTTGGAGCTGGATTTTTTAATAAAGTGCTGCTGCTGCGTGACCGAAGAAGTGACCACATCAGAACATGACTGGACTACTGTATTGCAGTTTTCACGAGTTTCTGAAGTTGTAACTGTTGTAGTTTTGGATGAGGGAGGTGTAGGGCTCTTTTTAGTCATGACATCAGAAGAAAGTTTCTTATCTAGGGACAGATTCTGTGACGCAATTTTCTTATTCACAACGGAAATAGAGGGTTTACCCAGCGGGATATTTGTAGGGCCTTTTTTCAATACTTTTTCCTGCTTAGATACATCCACTTCAGAAGTGACCGTGGTCTCTTTATTGTTTGTTGTGACTTTAGTTACAGCCTCTTTCTCTACGTTCTGAGCTGTAGTTACCTCAGCACTCGCACCAGACGAAAACATATGTGCATTAATTGGTGGAGAAGTGGGAGTTGTAACTGTACTTTTATCTAATCCTTCTTTCTCCATTTTCTGCTGGCGGAAACGCTCCTCTGCTAGCATGAGAGGGGTTTTGAATTTGCGAGCATAGGGTCTTGGCTTGAGCGGCTCAAGGGAGGGCTCGGGAGCTGCAGGCAATTTAAATGGTGGAGGAAACACTTTTTTGGGAGGCCGAGGGCTTTCTTTTGGCATTTGTTTTGGGATGCACGCTGGTATTTTTGTTGACACGGTTGTTGATTCAAACTGAATATCCTTTTTTGCTTCAATCTTCTGTTTTGTTTCTATCTTCTGTGCCTCCTGCACTGTTGTTTCTTCTGTACGCTCCACTGATATTTCTTGATCTGGAGGCAGCTGCGTCAAAGGGGGAGGAGGGGGGCGGATTTCTTGTTTCTTCTTCCATGTTGGTTTAACTTGTACAGGCTTTGGCTCGTCTGCCGGTTTGGGAACTTTAAATAAGGGCTTGCCAGTGGGTTTTCCGAACTTTGCAATCGGAGGCTGGGGAATTGCATTGAGCTCTTGCTGTGAGGGTGGAGGAGGAAGAAAGTCAGGTCCAGAGACAGCAGACACAGGAGGCGGTGGGGGTGGAGGAGGGAAAAATTCAGCTTCCAACTTGTTGCATTCGGCTGGCGGAGGTGGAGGAGGGGGTGGTGGTAGGTCACTGTCCCGTCTCGCCATGCCACGCATCGATGTGGGCGATACAGGGCTGTCCAACACTGGCGAAGGTGGTGGGGGTAGGGACAGATCCGACTCTGAAGGAGGAGGAGGGGATGCAGGAGGAGGGGGAAAGCGGATCTCTGGTTTTGGCTTGATCAAACCTTTCCCTTTGACGTTGACATGGTAATCACTTTTCATGTTTTTGATGTTCTTTTCCTGCTTTTGTGTCAGAGACCTCTCCTCTGTTTTCTTTTGTGACGTTGCTGACATTTTCTCTGTCACTTTCTGACTGTGAGAGACTTCTCTCTTCTCTGTGACGGATGTTTGCACTTGCGTGATTGTCTTAGAAGTAGAAATTGTTGTTTGTGATAAATTCTGCTCTTTGTTCATCAAATTCACCTCAGTGGCTTTAATCTCTGTTTGATCTGTATTAGCCATTTGCTTATCCTTTATCATAATGGGCTTAGAGGCCTGTGATTTCTGTGGGGCCAATGCTTTCTGTTTTTGCTCTTTTATGTTGGTCTTCTGAGAGGCCTCATGAATGCTGTCTGTTTTGGCTGCAGCTGCGGAGTGCCCCTCTTGGGTTATTACCTCTGTTTTCACCAATTTGCTTTCCTTGTGCTTGTGTGTGTGCTTTTGTGACTCAGTGCTGTGCAGGAGGTTTTTCACAGCAGGGGACGTATTGACAGCCCCACTCTCACTTTTAGCTTCATGCTCTGGCTGCTTTGCACTTGATGGATTTTTTACACACACTTTTGTTTTCTTTGGGTACATTCGTTTAACTTTGGTATATTGCTTTTTTTCCATAAGAGATTTAATTGCCCCCTGAACATCACCTTTAACTACCTCCTCCTTTTCTATCAGTGCTTCTTCTTGTCCTTCATAGAGTGACTTTATAGAGGTTTTTACATCCCCCTCAATGCTCCCCCTTCGTTGCATTCTTGGACTGGTCGATGGCTCCAGAAGCAGCTGTATTGTGCCCTTTACATCCCCTTGCTCACTCACTTGGTGCTGATACATTTTCTTTTCACTCGTGGTCTCGTGTAGACTTTGCATGGCAGTGAGGATGTCTCCTTTCACAATCTCTGCTTTTTCCACTTCTCTCACAACTTGAGTCGCCTCCTCCAGGGATCGCAGAGTTCCTTTAATGTCCCCTGCCACTAAGTCGTCAACTGTTGCTTCTGTTTTAACAGCAGCTGATTTTTCCAGTGACTCCAGAGCACTTTTGATGTCTCCCTTGACAATTTCTGGCTTTTCCAGTTCTTTGGATTGATGCTGGGCTTCAACTAAAGATCTCAGCGTGGTAGGGATGTCTCCTTTAACCACCTCCTCCTTCTCTATTACAACTTTCTGATTGATGGCCTGAGTTAGAGAATCCAAAGCTGCGTTGAGGTCGCCTTTAACAATATCCTTTTTTTCCAGATTTTTATAGCTAACAGCAGGCTCGGTCATGAAGACTTTCACAGTGCTGTGCACATCCCCAGGAACAATATCATGCTCCGCCACCGTACGGCCAATTTGTTGCTGATTTCTTCGAAGCAAAATTATTGTCTCTTCAACATCGCCGCCAATTATACGCTCCTTTTCCACATTTTCTCCACTCTCATCTGGGTCACACTTCAATTGTTTCAGGTAATCCAGTGCTCCAGATTCGATGCACGTAGAGTAAAAACTAACATTTCCCCTTTCTGTGTCTGAGACTTTTATTTTCTTAGAGTCCTCCGATCCTGAGTTTGAAAGTAAACGATGTAGTGTTTTGCTAACATTACCTTGAATAATGTCTTCTTTCTCAATGTTAGCGCTCTCTTTGTTTAACAGAGAATAGATAGTCATCTTCACATCTCCTTTCTCATCCTCTTGAATAAGAATTCCTCGCTTGGATGAGCCCTCATTTTTGAGCAAGTTGTTTATTGCCTCTTGAATGTCACCACGTACTATCTCCTCCTTCTCTACATCAGTTCCTTTTTCCTGTTTGAATAACTGTCTGACAGTGGTGTTGATGTCCCCTCGCTCCTCCTTGTCAATAGTTATAGCCCTCTCAGTAATATCCCTGCGGTTCAGGAGGTTCATCATAATATTGTTCAAGTCTCCATGAATAACCTCTTCTTTCTGAATTTCCGGGGTGTCCTGATTCAGCAGTTTGTACTTGGCCATTCTCACATCACCAATCTCATCAGCCTCGATCAGAATACCTTGTGATTCGACCATTTTCTGGCTATACAACTCTTGAAGAGTGTCTTTCACACTTTTGCCCATAATTTCCTTCTCTTGAACACAGCTTTCATTGAAGTGGTGGAAAGGGGTGGATTCAAATAGCCATGTTGTTGTCTTCACGTCTGCCTGTGGAATCTCCTCCTTGGCAACAGAAGGCCCGACGCTGTCACTCTCTTTGATTTTGTCAAGGGGCTGTTTCTCAAAGAGCCACACGGACTGTTTGACATCCCCTTTCATTACTTCCTCTTTTGTTACTCGCTCCATGCCGTCATATTCATTCCCATCTCCACGGATCTCATCAATCGTGCGCGATTCAAACATCCATGTAGCAGACCTGACGTCGCCTTTTTGTATCTCGCTTACGCTAACAGTTCTAATATACTTCTGAGAAATGTCGGTTTCGAATCGCTGTTTGTTTGTCTTAACGTCGCCACCTTGAATATCTGCGACTGTTTTTGACCTTTCTTTTATCTCCTCTGTAATTTCATCAAGTGGCTGAGTTTCAAATCTCCATCTGGCGGAGCTTACGTCTCCTTTGTTGATACCTTCTTCAGTCACTGCTTTTATAACATACACCTCTTCTGAATCCCTAATAGAGTCGAGTGGCTTTGTCTCGAAAAGCCATCGAGCCCCCACCACATCTCCTCTCATTATTTCTTCCTTTGTGACTGTTGTTACTTCGTGATAGTGGCCGTCTTTATCACAAATGGCATAAAGTGGTTGACTTTCAAACATCATTGTGTAATTCTTCACATCCCCCTTCTCTTTCTCATTCCTCAAAATACTTGTAAGCTTAGATATTTCATTTTCTGCTGATTCCTCTTTTATCTGATCCAGAGAATATGTTTCAAAAATAAACCGGCCTTTGTCAACATCACCGCCCTGCACGTCAGTCACAGTGCGTGTTTCTCTATTCTCATCCACATCCTCACGAATTGCGTCCATTGGCTGCGTCTCGAACATCCAGGTGCAGTTAACCACATTCCCCGGCTGTATGTCTTCTGCCTGCACCGTTTTCAACTTTTGCATTGTTTCCTCTGACGTGGAGCTCATAACGTCTGCGGATCTATTTTCAAAGATGTACTTCATTCGAGAAACGTCACCGGACTGAATGTCAATTTTTGTGATTCTACGAAAAGAGTCGGAGCCAGAGAGATTATCAAGATTTTCTGTCTCAAGGAGGAAACAAGCCAGCCGCACGTCCTTTCCTTTTATGTCCTCTTGCTTCACTGTGCAAGTCGTCAAAATGGTCTCCTCTGATTCTGTATGATCACGGATGTTATCAAGCGTCTGCGTTTCAAACAGCCAGGTGCATGTTTTGACATCACCTTTTTGCACTTCCACGTCTGTCTCACTCTTCTGCTCTTTTTCATACAACACATCTATCGGCTGAGTCTCAAAAAGCCACCTACAAGTTTTCACATCCCCTTTTTCAATAAGCATTTCTTCTTTCTTTTTATGCTCCTCGTCTTCAAATTTGAGTGTATCCAGTGCCTGTGTCTCAAATAACCACTTAGCAGTTTTAACATCTCCTGACTGAATCTCCTCCTTTGAGATGCCCTTTATTATCTGAAATTTATTAATGCTTTCATCAAACTCGTCAATAGGCCGCGTTTCAAACATCCATCTGCAGCTTCGCACATCTCCTTTCACAACCTCCTCACGTCTCACGGTTTTCACCTCGTGATAATGTCCGCTGCTGTCCTGCATCGCATACATAGGAGTTGATTCAAAGAGCACTTTGTTGGATTTGACTGATCCACTGGTGACACCTTCCACTTGGATTCTTTGTGCACCTTCACATTTACTTAAATCCATAGTTTCAAATCTCTCTTTAAAGTTGCTCACATCTCCTTTATCGAGTGCCTCAATATTCACGGTCCGTGTGATCTCTTTCCTGTCCTCTCGTATATTCTCCAGTGGCTGACTTTCAAACACCCATCTTTGATGTCTCACGTCACCTTTCTCTTCCTCGGAGGCTACCATTTTATTCAGTTTTCCCACTTCTCGCAATTCCTTAAGATTTTCCCCGGGGACCATTTCAAACAAATACTTTGCTGATTGAACGTCTCCTCCTACAATATCCACAGATACTTGTGGCCTGGCGTTGGTGTTATCCTTCAGAGTGTCCATAGGCTGAGTCTCAAACACCTGACAGTGCCTCCTCACATCAGCCCCAACTATCTCCTCCCTTTGTTTTCTGGTACTTTCCCATTCCTCGTCCTTAATTGAATCCAATGTCTTTGTTTCAAAAAGCCACCTCCCTTTGTTAACACCGCCTTGGGTGTTGTCTTCCATAGAAATACCACAGATAAGCTTAACCTTTGCAGGGTCCTTGTTGATCATATCAATAGGCTGTGTCTCAAACATCCAGCGTGAGGTCTTGACGTCTCCCTTTTCTGTCTCCTCCCGGCGAATGGTAGTGATCTGCAGCATCTCCCCAGACTCTCCTCTGATTACACACATAGGGAGTGTTTCAAACATACGAGTGGTGGTCTTAACATCCCCTTTTATCTCTTCCAGCTCTGATTTAAGATTTAGAAAGTGACTTTCTTCTATAGTTTCAGTTTTACCGAGACAGTCCAAATGCTGTGTTTCAAACAGATACCTTGCTGTCTTCACATCTCCTCCTGTTATTTCTTCAGTGATCAAACCATCTGCCTCAATTTCATCTTCTTGATATATTTTATTAAGATAGTCGAGGGGCTGCGTCTCAAAAAGCCATGTAGCAGTACGTACATCACCTCTTGCAAGATCACTATTCTTCTCCGTTAGCTCATTTGATTCTGGAGTCTCATTCCCCAGAGAATCTATTGGCTGTGTTTCAAACATCCAAGTTGTTAATCTGACATCTTTACCAGCAATAATTTCCTGTTGAGTCGTATTTCTTTCATTATCATCAGGTGTGTCGTCCTTTATTGCATCTAGTGGTTGATTTTCAAACATCCAACGTCTATTCTCCACTTCCCCTTTAAGAACTTCGTCCCATTCCACAGACTCTCGGTCTGGACTAGAACACTCACTGTTCCCCTCATATTCAAATTTATAGCAGGCCTGCTGGACATCCCCGGCTACACCTCCACTCTCCAAATGCTGCCGTTCCGCCTCGCTGAGCTGGCTCAGGAAGTCAACTTCCAGGTTCTTCCGGACATCCGGGTTAATGTGCTTGTAAAGCCGCTTCAGTTCAGCCATGCTCTTCTGTTTAAAGTACTGCTCTTTATTAGCTTTATTTTGTGAGGTTTGTTTGCTAGATTCCACTGAAACCTGCATTAGGTTTGGAGGGGGAGGCGGGGGAAAGCTGTTTTCCCCTTGAAATGTTGCAGATGAAGTTCTGACAGTGGAAGACGACTCACAGCTGCTCATAAGAGCAGCTTCAGATGACTGTTTAGATGGAACCCACTGAAACTGGTTTATATCCATGTCAACCTGTAGTTTGTGTTTAAGAGTAATGAAGTTGGGGAAAAAATAAAGAAACAGTCAGACACAATCAACCTGGTAAAAAGCAGCTATAACATTACTTAAATAAAACAGTTTAATGTAACTATGGCCACGTTTAGATGGAGACGCTGCAACAGTAATAATAATAATATTGCATTGGTTTGATATAGCTCTTTTTGGACACTCAAAGACACTTCACATGTCACTATTCTTACTGACAGAGACAAAGCCCTACCAACTGAGCCACTGTCGAACTTAAGTAGAGTTGTGTATTGGATTGGCCTTCCATTTAGATGCTTCAGGGAGTGAAAACGCAAGAGTGGAACAGAACAGATACACTGCTGGGTGGGAGTGTGTGAAGAAATTTTTTTGGCTGGAATGACCTCACCACTTCCACACGTACATTTGGAAAAGCGCAGTAAAAAAACAATGGTGGCGGGTCAACTAATTCTACGTTTCCTGCAAGCGCTACACGGCAGAGATTTCTACTACTTTGTCCATCGAAACGAAACCACGTGAAGCTATGTTTCAGTTTCCATTTTCACAGCTGCTGTTAAATGCAGAATGATGTTGCTGCCTTCTTTCATGTCTTTGCGGTGGCCTGAGGCGAAGGTTGTTAAGAAAGTGTTCATACTGCTGGGGGGCTGGGGGGTGTGTGTGTCGTGTTGTAAAGTTCCACTGCCCACTACTGGCTGGGCGCTGGAACTACATCGTCTTCCGTGATCATCTAAACGCTGTGCAGGAGCCTGGTCGTTTCTGCTAATTGCTTTACAGTGTCTCTGCAGCGTCTCCATCCAAACTGGGCCTATGTTTAAGTCCCTGACATATCCTTCAAGTCTCTAATCACCATATCAACTGAGGTGCTGTACTCTTCAGTGCCGAATGAATCATGTGTCTATTACTAGACAAGAGACTGTTGCATATGGCATATCCTTTCTCCATCTGTTTCAATACTGTGTGGCTTTGTCATAAATACAAGCGGTTGCCTTCACCCATCATCTTATGGCAAGAGCAAAATTCTTTAGTCTATCTTTTTGGATGAAAGAAAGCCTACCACAGTCTATGTTGCAGAGAGATCATTACCTTGATTTCCTTGGCCGGCGCAGCCTCTTCAATAGTTTTCTCATACTGCTGCTTCAAAGCCTGCGTGGAAACCTTTGGTAGGTCCTCCCCGCCAACGACTGTAACTGAATTAGTCAAAAGAAGAAACTGCCTCGTTATGCCATTCAGAGAGAGGGAGCACTGGTATTTGAAGAGAGAAATAAATAATTCCATTTAAAATAATTCCATTCTCAGACTATGCCGAGGCGATTAGCCAATTTTCAGTTTTCGATAATTTTACTGCTTTACTTTGTGCTAAAAGAGTTTCAAAGCTGCATGAAATAAATAATAAAGAGCACATTTCTGATTAGATCTTAGTCCAAACTATTTTGATACAGGGCTGGGATTCCACATGAAAGCCTCCGTGGACCTTGCAAAAAACAGACCTGATGGTATGAAGATGGAGATATCATGCTTAAAAACACTAAAACATAAAAAAAGAAACTAATTAAAATGACTTTGCATTGTGAGCACTTTTCTTTACCCGTTTCATTGAAATTATTTCCATAGCCGGTAGTCACTCTTTGATCATGAAGGACCTGTGAAAAACAATATACTGCCTCAGCCTTTGACAATTTACATCAACAATGTGAAAACACTCAGTGTGAAGTCCTTGTTGTTGCACATTGCAGGACAATAGAACTCACCTCTTGTTGGTTGTGAAAAATGGTTGTAGTGGGCACAACTTCTCTGGCACCGCTTCTCACTGTCACCTCTGAGGAGCTTGACATTTCCTGCCAAAACAGTGAATAACACAAATGACACTGCTCAGATACAATCACACAGGCTTTACGGCTTCACGGCTGCAGGCTGTAAAGAGAATGGGAGGGTGAATATAATTTACTGTTTATATTAAAGGCTTAAAAAAGCCTGTGTGGCGATGAGCATGTTTTTATAAAGGGGCTGTTTCCCAGGAAGGATTCACATAGTAATGTAGGGCTTAAAGTGCAAAAAGTGATGAAAAACAAGTCAAACATTTGGCAAAATGGGTCTTAATTTGAGAACATTATTTTCCTTGAAATGAGAAAAAAGCAACAGTTCATAAAATAAGACGAAATGGCTTTGTCCCATCGGCAAATCTTGTTTTAAGACTGTCAGAAGGAAGATTATTCCCTTATATCTCTATATATTATTGTGTGTACAGTATTGTATTTCTTATGCCTGTGGAATGGGGACAGGTATCTAACATTTGATCCTTTTGTGGTCCATTGTTCATATTAAACATAGATGATAGTGAATATCTTTACTCCTGAAACCACTTACGGATAAAACGGTTCTCATATGTTCGACCACTTTTAGTCTTCCACACCTGTGAGGAAAATGCGAGCAGAAAGCCCCAGGCCGTAAGAAAACCGAGTCCGACATTTCCCCTTACAAATGGCAATGTAATATTTAGCATCCGCACAGGTCCTGGTGAGCTCCATGACTTTGCATCGCTCCCTGCCTGAATGAGCAGATGGGGAAGAGTACACGACGGCAGTGACCTCCCTTGGCTCTGACTCTGCCCCAGTGCAAACACATTCTGGCATTTTGCTCACGTGCCCAATGACAGAGCCTTGACAAAGTTCAAGGTGCCCTCTTTGATTTGACCTATAAAGTCTCTGGCACTGCAGCCAAGTCTATCCAATAAACCGCTTCTGTGGAATATCAATTCAGGCACCCTTGCATTTATGCGCAGAAAGGACAAAACCACAATTTAATAGGGATCATCTTGTGTACTGTTACTCGCACTGGGGTAAATGTACTTGCTCCTTCTGGTGGTACTTGAACTCCTCTGCAGTTCCAAAGCTTATTTTTCAAATCGACCCAGGAAAGATTGATGGCATTTGGAACGTTGAATATATAGATATGGCGGTATTCTTTTATCTTGTGCTGAAAGTTCACTAATTAGAATGAATCACAACAGCACCAACCCAAAGCTCATCACATAATGTTTGATTTCTGTGCACTTCAACTGAACTCAGAGCTACTCACCCACCTTTTTTAGAGTAATTGCACACAACATTCCACAGGTCTTTAAAGTGTAAATGAAATGGAGGTTGCTGGCATGCATTTCACTAAATTACGTTGTTACAGTTGTTTATACATTGGAGGGAAATACGGCCCCCTGCCCTCATAACTTACAGTACTTACAAATTCTCTGGTGTGAGTTAATGGAACCATCAGTTATACTGTTGAAGTTTTTAGTCTCCAGATACGTGGTAGTACTCAATGACTCATTTGCTCTGGTATTAGATGTATTTCTTACTAACCTGGACTGATCTTTGCTGGTACTGTACATGTGTGACCGTGGACTGAGTGGAGGAAGAGAACTCTTGACTCTCGAACTGTTTCTTTACACTGGCAAGGCCACCGGGCAGCGAGCAGGCCTCTGATTCATCCATCATCTGAAGAGAAACACAGGGCACATAACAAACTAAAATCAGTGCAATTATCCTATTTGCCTAAACATCCAAAATAATAATGCATTGTTTTTTGCTTTTTTGGGCGCTCAAAAATGCTCTACATGTCATTGTTCATTCACTCCAAACACGTGGTTATGAACTAGTACTGTAGCCACAGATGCCCTGGGGCACACAGACAGAAGCGAGGCAACCAGTACGTGATATTCGCCCCTCCGACCACCACAAACACACACCAGACTCATTCTAATGTGGGTGAAGTGTCTTGCCTAAGGACACAACAGCAGTTTAGCACTTTACAGCCGCAGCCGCCCCACTGTGCCACCTGGTGTTCCTAGAGGTCTACCATCACAGTACTAACCAGGCCCTGTCCTGCTTAGCTTCAGGGGACAGGATCTGGTTTTTACATGCAGGTATGGCCACAAAGTAATGTCATGTTCAGATAAGTTTTATTATCTGAACAATGGACAACTTATCACAGTTTGTGTTGAGGCATTTCCAGTCACGCCCTCTCAGTGTTCTCTTTAGACGGGTAAAAACTAAAAGCAGTGGAGTTGGATGTGTTTAAACAAAACATAACGCAAGATATATTGAGTTTGTGTTGTATCCGGACAAAATGGGCAGCCTGCCAGTTACAGTTTTTCTCAACAGCCTTCCTCCCACTGCCTGTAAAACATCAATAACATATTTTCACTATTCGATTTAATGGCACAAAAAGCTTTTTAGTTAGATTTTTTTATTGAGTGCCTATAGAAGCTGTTCTGGCTGTTCAAACGTACAAAGTGAAGGAGAGTGAAGGACTGGGACTGTGTAAATCCAATTTGTATGGAAAACATACCCTTTGCTTTATGGGATTTGGATGGGAATGCCAAATGACTGTTTGATACAATAATCTCCTTTTGGGATTGTCTATTACTTTGCTAATAAAACATTTATAAGTAGGATTCTGCATATAGCTTCTGGGGATCTGCAATATATATGAGCATTTCTTTCAGCAGTAAGTGTGTGTAGAGAGAGTGTATCTAGAGCCACATTTTTTTCTAATGCAAATGAAGACACAAGCACCATTTCCAAACTGTTTGCCCTGGATTGAGGTCAGTGGCATTTAGTGGCTTGTTCAGATCTCTTCAATATTTTAACATTTCTGTACAACAAGATATACAACAAGACATAAGTAGTTATGTCTTATTCAGTGGTTAGTATGGAGCGTGTTATTTATACATGTAGTGATATTTTTAAACATCTTGAGTGGTGACACGCAGACAACAGCTGAACTTGGAGGAAAAGGGAATTCTGGATCCCACGACGGTCACTGACGAGTGGTGAGTGTCTGTTTTGCTCGCAGCAAAGACACAGCTGACAGCTGAGGTTAGAACTAGCAACCTCAAGCAATTACTCAAGTCCATAGGATTCTGCTAATCTACAAATAATCTTTGTAGAGAGGGAAAGTCTTTGAGTGCTTGCAAAAAAAACTAAACTACACATTATATTTATGAAATACTAGTCAGACAATTAGTATGCACCCAAACAACCTTATTTAAGACAACTCTTAATGAGAAGTGTTTTGGTGGCCTCCAACTCGCAATCGGAATATCACATACCTAATTCATAAATAAAAACATGAATGAGGAATTAAAGATTTATGACTATTAAATAATGTAATGATCAATTTAAAACATTGATCATTACATAAAAAAGTAAAACAATGGTTTTTAGTTGCTCGAGCTTTAATTTGAATTGAGCTTTCTCCTGTTCCTACTCAGTGTTATTATTGAGTTAGCAAAGCTGCCGATATCTAACAACAGACGACAACAATTATACAAAAACATTTCCATACCAACTATTGACGCTTTCACTTTCGGCTAAAACATCCATGTGACTTGTGCTTTTATTCTACAAGACAATCAGAAGCCGATGCAATTTTTGTATCAGTTGGTAGTCGCAGAATGTTCATGTTGGACGGTTTATGCACCTAGTTGATTCAATTAACATCAATTAAAAGCTGTTTTTACTCAACGTTGTGTTTTTGCTAAATTTATGAAAAATAGAAGCCAGGTCCCAGGTGGCAGGTTGCTATGGTAATGCACTGGTTATTCCGTGCAGACATCCAGGTTCATAAATACTAAATGTGTTCGTTGTCTGTTTATTCTGGCCGGTGACTGCGTGCTACTCCACTCACGGCAGATGAGGGTTCCTTCTTGGACAGAGCAGCTTGATACATGGCCATACGCTCTTTCACAGACACGCTCTCGGCCTCTGGATCCTCCGCGCTGCCGGATCTGTTCTCCTGACTCAGCCCGACCTCCGAACGTCCTGCCCTGGATCTTCCACCGCCGCCTGCAGCTGCAATCACAACACAAAACATAATAGCGTTCACAGTTTCATAGAAAAACAACCATGACCTTTACATTTACATAAATTGACTCTTCGGGGTATTCTGTCTTTATGAATCAGGAGGAAGTGAAGAACTGTCTCTTGTTGAAGCAATTACTTTGTTTGGATCTCTATTACAATTCTTATTAGTGAGTAAGTAATGTTTATTTATATAGTGCATTTTACAGACCAAGGTACAGACCCAAAGCACTTTACAATGTTCAGAGTCAGATATTGTTCCAATCCTTCCACACACGGTGATGACAGAAGCGAGTCCAGAACACACTGGACCATCAGCTCCAACACCATCCATTCACTCTCTCATTTACATTCAGACCTATTGTGCATGTTTTTAGTGGTAGGGAAAACCGGAGCACCCAGAGGAAACCTACGCAGACACGGGGAGAACATGCAAACTCCACTCAGAAAGGCCCTGTTCTGACCTGGATTCAAACCCAGGACCTTCTTGCTGAGAAGCCAGAGTGCTAACCACTCAGCCACCGTGCCGATTATTAGAAATCAAGTAGATTTTGTGAAATGAATCAATGTCTAGACTGTGTCACATTTTGGGTTTAGGGGCTACAACCTTCTTCAATCGTTAGCAATGTAGACAAGCTAAACTTCACACCGGCTAGCATCATCAGTCCCCTCTTTTTAATAACTAAAATCTACTTTTCCATTGTCTTTGTTTTGTCTTTCTTGATGTCCTTCTACTTTTTTCTTCTGTATTAATATTTTCTGTGTTATATTCTTATGACTTATGTTTTTATTGTTTTACGCTGACAGTGCAATGTTATGTAAACACTGTTTTTGAAAAGTTCTGTACAAATAAAGATATATTATTAGAATTATTATTTTCCTCAGTATTAGCAATAACAACACCCTTTGTTGCACTAATAAAAGGGAAAGACTCATTGTAAAGCCTCTCTGATACACGACCAAGTGCTACCCTCACCCCCATAGAACATTTATCTAATTTAAGTTCTGAGTTAGTTTCATCAAAGCAAAAAAACAAGTTCAAAATGTATGTTTGATATTAAACAGGATGGCTTGTGAGATGGAATGTGCTTCTGGACACATTTACAATCCAACAAATTGTGTCTGGTTGGACGGTGTTCACGTTCATGCCCATTATGATGCATTATGTCTCTTCTTCTGTCTAATTAGCGAACGGTTTAGTTCTCAGTAAACATGTCTGCTCTATATTTTAAACGCTCCTCAGATGAGTCCAATCAGTCATTGACAAATGTTGACATTAGACTCAAGTGTAGTCATCATCAATCACAAACACCTCTTTATGGTTCCTCATATCACTAAGCACATCCCCGTGGATCAACAATTAGAGGAGATCATTGATTTTACATTTGACTTTTCTGTGCTACAAAGCATCATTAGGCGAAGTGAGGAGGCACAGCGCACACCCACTCTGGACCTTTCCGCTCTTTGCTGGTCCTCTCTCCTCAGGCAATGACACTGAAGGATGAAAAGATCTTTAGCACAAATTATTTTCTCTGGTTGTGTTTGCACAGGCACCTTCTGACATTTGGAAATCCAGCTTTGTATATTTCTATGCAATAAGGCTTCACAGGTGCACAGTTTGTGTATAGTTTGTGTGGATCAAAGCAGGGTCATTCTGTGATTGATGGGATTCAAAATGCTTGCATCTTTCTCCAGCTCAGTTAAATGCCTGTGAAGCTGGAGGAGGATTAAAGGGTGGATTCAAATTCCATAGCATTACTGTGGACTATAGCTTTTCTAGATATACCTACCATAGAGTTGGCAAACATAGTCAACAGGTAAACCTTTTTTTATTCCCACAAAGGTCAATGTCATTGCGCACATTACAGCAGTTTAAGAGGAGAGAATAAGAGCAGAACAGGATCTATAGATAATTAAATAGTAAAATAATGCACTTGTGGAGTATACACCAGCATCGTGAGGTATTTACAGATGTATATATTAGAAAATGACCAAAATTAACAATGGCACCGTAATACTAGCAGCAGCAGCAGGTAAAGAGACTGGTGAATTATCAGAACAAAAACATCAGATTAATGGAATATGTAATAATAATGTAGTAATAATACAGCAGGTAAAGTGACTAGTGCCAAGTGGATTATCAAAAACAAATTTACAAACATTGACATCATTCGTGGGTTGTAAAACATGACCTGGTTGTTGTGTTCATAGAGAACTTTTGTTTTTTTGGCAAGATACCCAATCCATCAACAGAGGCAGGTGGGGGGGTTTTGCAAAGCTAAAGAATGTAATTCCGAATGCCATGTGACAGCAGCATGTCCTACTCATCGTCTTGTTTTAGCTTTGCAATGTAGGAGCTGTCAGGAAGAGAAATACAGCACATGTGAAAATACCCTGGGTCTTTTACCCCACGCTCACTATTAATATGGGTCAGAAATGTTACACCTGAGTATCCTCCCACCAGGCGGCGCGATGACAGAAACGCAAGGATAATGCCCTCATTTATCACTGCAGATAAACCACGCGTCACGGTCTGGAGATGTGTGACCACCCCACTGGATATCTATGGCTTCTGACGAACTATGCAAACTATGTATGCAAAGCTGCCATAGCCCAGAGGTGAGGTAACCACAGTAGCACACACTAGGGAGAGAAAATAAACCAACCTATTTTAAATTTACTGTCTGCAGAGTCATGTTCCCCCTCTGTAGCACTATGATTACAGAAGTGGAAGTGAAGAAGTTCAACAACGCCTCATTAGAAATCGTTTTTTGAAAGGTTAGCGCAACCTTTTTATGCTAGCTCAAGTGTTTAATTGGCATTCTCATTAGTTAAGACAGCTGAAATGAAGGAAGGCCAAGAGTCTGCATACAAAAAAGAGAAGGTTTAGCTGCCACACATTGTCACAAGTCATTTTGCATTTAATGGAGTAGAGTTGGATTTTTTCGCATCCAAGTAGACAGTGGCGGGTAAGACAGGGTGAGTCATGGGGAAGTCCATGCTGCTTATTGGGAGCTATATTGAGCAAAGACCAGGCCCTGACCTCCTGTCTGGGCCTCAGCCGGGCCAATGCCTCAGAGGTAAGCTCTGGCTTTACCGCCACACAACGAGCTGTTTGTGAAGTAGCCAAAGGACTGTGTCGAGAAAAAGAAAGAACGAGAGGGTAATTTAACTGCAAGGACAAGTCTGTGTGTAGCTGCTGCATCAGGAGGACGTCCCTTAATCACAAAGGTGTCAGTGGCTTTTCTCACCGCAGGAACCTTAAGCGACCCAATTTTGTGTTCCGTACTTACAGCTGCCGCGGCTTTGACGAGAGAAGCAAAACTGGCTGCACTAATTGAAATGTCAACCCACAGAGGCCAATTTCAACGCAAAACAGACACAATAATTGAGCTGTCAAATGCTTCAAAATAACTTGAGGTGTACATGTAGAAAAGATCGCCCCTGAGTGCTTCCTTACGCTGGGCTAAGCATTTTGTCTGAAATTTGCACTGCTTTCAGATTATTCCAGATAAAATTGCTGCTGGTTATGGAGGAAACAGGATGAGCGCTTGCATGTTTTATAACCCAGCCCAAAACCTAATGATTCACCATAACGCACCATGGTCTCACATCTTCTTCCTAATAACACCCTCTTCATATTATTATAGATTTTACCACCGAGATTTGAGCTGTCTTTTTGGTCAGGGAAATGAAACCAATTCTCGATCTCCAGAAATGTCCAATTGTTTCCAAACGGTCTCCTTCCACTTCTGAAAAATCTAATCTAAACAATGACAATGGGCAAAAGGAAACCATGGAATGCCGGTTATCTCCACGTGCATCTTACCTTCTAGAATATACGGGTCGCCCTTTGTGTCAAAATAGAATGATCCAAGACAAAACAAAAAGGCCTTAGGTTGTAACCCAGAAGGGGACAGCGAGGCTTGGAGACCAGCTCCAGCAGTGCGCTTCACGGACGACTGAGGCCAAGGCATCCAATGACAGCTGATTTTATTTTAGTATCCCCCACTGTAAAAAAAAAAAAAAACAGGATGTACGTGGGGAGAGGGGAGCTGGATTGGGCTGGACTATTCTAGTAGCATGTATCAAGGAACCAAACATGCCCTTAACCCTATGTCAGTGTCAGACGGCATCAGACTACACCTTCGGTAAGACAGTGGCTTGGTACAGTATTTGGAATAAGTGCTCTTAGGGTTGTAATTATCATTACCCACATTCATGAACACTACAATAGTTCACAACAACTTTCAGAAAGGCAGAAATAAAGTTAAAGTAATCATTAAGACAAGCTACCCACAGCAAAACAAACATGATTACTTTTCACTAGATGTAGAAAATTGTAGCGTGATCAGAAAAATGGCTTTAAGACATTTTGAACTCAAGAAAAAAGAAAACGTGGTCCATTTTATCGAATGTTTATGGTTTACCAAGATATCAACATTTATGGACATTGACCATGTGCCCCTTATAGACCAAAGACTATTATGCACATTGTATCATTATATTTCTTGTGTTTGATCTGTTTGAGAGATAACTACAGTTGTGACTTAGGGCTATACAAGAAAAAACTAAATTGTGCATGTTATTGAATACATTTCTATCTTCACTTTACTATCTCCATCTAAATTTAAATAATGAGCCATCTTGGATTTAATGCATGGATACTACATGTTTCATATTGTCCTAAAATATACGTTATTTTGTGATTGATAATTCTAGAGAGAGCTCAGGCCTGTCAATGTCAGGATGTGAGTGCAGGGTAGATGCAGTTTTAGCTCATTGCATGTTTTGTTTACATTTTCTTTTGCATGTTGCATGTGTTTAGTGCATGTTTTGTTTTTATGAACATTTTGAGTGCACCCCTGCACAAATGGACTGCTCCGCATTTTTAACCAATCAGAAACTTTCCCCAGTGGTGTGGTGTGACGGAATGATTGTTAAGAGGCAGGGCCAGGAAGCAGAGACAGTGTCACCGGTGCGCGTGTGGACCGTGGACACTGGATTAGACTGACACCAGACCCCCCAGCACCAGCGGGGAACAAAAGGTTGACCGAGCGCTGTGCAGAGGGGCCGTGCAGTGGAGCCGTGCAGTGGAGCCGTGCAGTGGAGCCGTGCAGTGGAGCCGTGCAGTGGAGCCGTGCAGTGGAGCCGTGCAGTGGAGCCGTGCAGTGGAGCCGTGCAGTGGAGCCGTGCAGTGGAGCCGTGCAGTGGGGCCGTGCAGTGGGGCCGTGCAGTGGGGCCGTGCAGTGGGGCCGTGCAGTGGAGCCGTGCAGTAGAGCCATGCAGTAGAGCCGTGCAGTGGAGCCGGCTGATACGCCTGAAAAACAGCTAAGTGAAGGGACGTCTGCACGCGGGCTTCTGCATCGCAGAACTTGCTGATTTTAACTTATTGTGCATACACCAATTTTAGCCCTCTCCCCGCAGCTCCCTGGACTGGTGGAGGTGACGGGACTTTTAGCATGGCTATCTGCATCGGACCTTTCCTTTTTTTTAGATACATTTTATAACTGACTTTTATCTTTTTCTTTCAACTTGTACAAAATAAAACTGTTCATTTTTTCCTATTTTTCGAGTTGTGTTGTATGGCCCGGGCTTGATTTTATACAGTTGCTATTAAACTGTGACATCAACGAATCCACCTAATCCTTAGCACCCATTGATTGTCAGTCACAATAATGCACTATTCTTGTGTTTGTAGCCAGAGGAAGTGTTAAAGGTCTTCCTGTAAACTAGTCTCTCTTATTGCTTGTCTGAGTTACGCCCGGAGCCTTTTTCTATTTTAAAACGTGTATGTTCATCGTCGGTGTTAATTTATGGCTTTTGTTTCCATACAATTTGATGCCAACATTCATGTTTATCTCATGTGAAAGACAAGGTAGCCCACCCGGTAAGCTGCCGTTGGCGTCGAATTGACAAGAAAAAGCCACGGTTATCGGAGCGGCTGGAGGAGCTGCTCTGTGCTGATAATCCCGCAGAAATTGCACATGGATTTCCTGTTCTGAAAGTGGAAAATAAACATAGCCAGATAGAATACACAAGGAAGGCTGTGAGAGGAGCCAAGAGAGGAAAAACATTCCACAATTAGATATTCATGCAGATAAGGCTCATGAGCGATCAGTCCCATTGATTTGGAATTTACATAATATAAACTGCTATTTATTTCATATAAATTGCTTTGGGCTTCTGTTCTTCCACTACTGCTAATGTTAGAGCAAAACAGAAGGAGGAACTTCATAATAAATATTAAGAGAGATTTTATTGTAAATTTTAATCTACATTTTTCTACATTGAGAAATCCCTTAAACAAGTGGACGCTTCATAGGGCAGTAGGCACAACGGTCTATCATGCAGTCCATTCAAAACTACTTATTATTATAATAATAATAATAATAATACATCTTTATTTGTATCACACTTTAAAAAAACAGTGTTTATGAAGCACTGCACAGTCAGCATAAACCAGTCAGATCAAAAAGAAAAACAGCAGAATAAAGACAAAGTGGAACATTAAAATATGGCATACATGTGAAGTTTAAAACTAGCAGTTAAAGGCCGTTCGGTAAAAGTGGGTTTTAAGGAGTGATTTAAAAGACTTTACTGATGGAGCCAGCCTTAGCAGGTCGTTCTAGAGCCGAGAACATCCAATCAGGGACCTGCCCGAGGATCTAAGGCTGCAGGGCAAGGGCTTGTACAGGGGGTTAAAATGTCAATGATATAACTTGGGACCAGACCTAAACAAGCTTTAAAAGTAAACAGTAAGATCTTATGTTAGGTTAATATTTATTGTAGACTTTCCTTGTCATCTTAAATAGATAAACCAAACTAAAAATCTATTCTAAAACACACAGGGAGCCAGTGGAGGGACGCTAAAACAGGGGTGATGTGCTCCATTCTGTTCAAACCAGTGAGAAGTCTGGCAGCTGCGTTCTGGACCAGTAACTAAAACCAATTCTGGACCAGTAACAATCAATAATAAAACACATTTGACAACAACATGCAACAATATATTTCTCACACTAGAATATAGCAAAAGTCAAACACTTAATTCTTGCTTCTTCTTTATGCTTTAATTGCGGATTTTAGATTTGCTTCCTCATTAGGCTAAAGGAAGAGATTGCATACTTGGATCTTTGATATGATGCACTTAAGAGATGTTATTTATTTTCTATTTTTATTATAATAACGTTATGGTTCATTTATCTTGTGTTGTGTGCTCCTCATTCCTACAATTCTGTGACCAGGGATGCACTTTTCATACTAGTCTTAATATTTGAACAGAATGAAACCTTCTCTCTAATGATCCCGTGAGACTTTACACAAAAAATGGTCAGGGGTTTCTCAGCTGATTCAGACTAATGTTGGTGTTCTGAGTCTGAATATCACATGCATTTGTCTCTATCAGGTCAACTTTTTGAGATACAGCCAAAGTGTTACGGATTATGTACGTCTACGTTATTATGAATTCTGCTTATCAAATTTGACGGAGTAAATAAAAACTGAATGACTTTGGATACGTTGACTTTTATTTCTTGAGGAAAACGGAAAAACGTCAAGGGTTTCTCAGCTGATGATCCGCAAAAATTTGTTTTTTACGCGAAATCAATTTTAAAAAAAAATTCTGTAGCAAAAAATCTTGACCTGATTGAGCAAAACCAAGGTCATTTTCGGACTCAGCATCAAAATTAGTTAGAGCGGCCTCTCAGCAAGAAGGTCCTAGGTTCGAATCCCGGTTGGACCAGGGCCTTTCTGAGTGGAGTTTGCATGTTCTCCCCGTGTCTGCGTAGGTTTCCTCCGGGTGCTCCGGTTTCCCCTACCACTAAAAATATGTACAATAGGTCTGGCATGTGCCTCCTGTACTGGAACTCCCAAAAATCACAATTGTAAACTGCTTTGAGACTCCGATGTGCAGTGAAAAGGCGGTATATAAATAAAGATTACTTACTTACTTACTACTAATTCAGCTGGAAAACCCTGGACTATTTTCAAAATATATTGTTTTGTTACCCATTGTTATATTTGTATACCTTATCTAAAGGTTGCACCATTATCCTGCCTAGCAAGTAAATGATTGATATGAAAATTACAATAGCTGTGAGTAAACAGTAGCAGTGGGTCAAGGAGATGATAATACATGTGTAATCAAGAAAGGCTCCATCAACACGGTAATAAAAGAAAGAGTAGCTTCAAATGTCAAGGACCAAAACAACATCCACTCAAACCCCGTATTAATAATCTTCATCTTTATCCAGGCATGTCTTTTTGTGGGAATCAAAATGCCAGCTGGAGAAAAAAACTACTTAGGATAACATTATAAAGACATCACCATTTGGCAGACTAATGAAGTAGAAAATTAATTAAAATCAAGATACTTGGCATATTCAGGTCCAACTGGCATCTTTTACTCACTTAATCTAATTCGTTCGTGCACAGTCTGTCTGACAAGTGTTAACAGCTAAATAACTATTAAAATCGGCAACTTTATAATCATATACAGACGCACAACTAACAATAACAATTATGCTGACAGTTGTAATACAAGTGGGGGACGTGGAAACAAAAAGGATTAAGAAAGTAGCTTTGCATCTGCTTAAAGGTGAATGATTGTGTTATTATGCCATTCCCGAAGACTGATGTCACCCCTGTCAGTCACCTTGGCACTTTACTTTCCCTTGTCGTTGCTTAGACAAAAGCCATCACTCAATCTGAAAGCGGCTATTTTAGACCTAAGTATGGTGACGGAAAGCTTTCTGTCCCCGTATAAATAAGCTACTATAGGAACCTGGTATGTTTAGGAGTTGTGCATGAGAATGTGTTTACAAAAAAAAGGCCCTCATTGCAAAAGAGACCCAATTTATTAATCAAAATGTAAATAATTGCTTATCTTGATTACCTTAGAATTGCTATATAACTGTCTCTTTTGAACTCTACATGTATTTGACTCTTCCTCATTGTTTTTGTTTTGTCTGTCTTGTTGTCTGCTTTAATCTTCTGTTTGGGTTAGGGTTAGGGTAAGTGCTGTACAAAGAAAAATGTATTATTAATTGTTAAATAAGTAACTTGGTAAATGTTCTGTGTGGGTTCTGTATTGTATATGAAAACTCTTAAGAATAAAAAATAAAAAAATTGTCCCCCACCACCTCCTAGTTTGCTTGTTTGACGTCCACTCTATACTACCAGCACAAGAAGTTAGCCCAGACTGTAAGCTCTATCTATGTGTGCGCACTGCTATCAGTAAAGGTAGCCTCGGAAAGTCCTATACAGCGCTATCGCAGTAATGGAAGCATTGTATCTTCTACCCAAGCCCAGGCTCCCATTAAAAAAGGCTGCTGGGAGGGGAGCCTTATCGCACAATGGACAATCTAGTTTTCAAAAAAGCAGCTTTGTGCCAAATGTTTATCTCAAAGAACAAATAGGACAGCGCACACCGCATTATCCGGCTGCCATGTTTGTTTGAGCTGATGCAATCATGAAAATTGTGTTCTTGTCAAGTGCAATAATACTTCTGAAAAATAACTTTTGACAACTTGCATTAAATATTACTCACAAATGTCTTGCTCCGAGGCCATGGCGAAATGTGTCGATCGATCTGCTTTTGAGCGGGTGCTAGAGGTCTCTCTTTTTGATGTGTGTGTGGCTTCCTGTTCAAAAAGAGGGAGGGGGAGACAGAGAGAAAGTGTGAGAGAGCTATCTAAAGAAACACCTGTGCTTTTATGGCGAAGAAAAGATGGACAAACAGGTCAGCCCCAAGACACTTGCACACACCCACTCACCCAACACACTCGCCTTGAGGAAGCAGATACAGTAAAGCATCTGGTGATTTTTTAACAACTGAAATGTTTAGGCTGCAATTTCCAAGCCCAAACATCTGTGAGAATGGCCTTGATCCCAATCTGAGCAGGAGGCATTGACTAAAAACTTGGCAAACACAAGTTGGTTGAATTTTAACAGCACTGCTCTACCTGAACTGTGAACGGTGAGTTGTTCCTTGAGTGATAACGGTGAAATCACAAAGAGAATATAGCATGTCCTTGGTGTTTCCAGTCTTGTGCGTTTGTGTGTCTCTCTCAAAGCATTCTGTCAAAAGTCTGTCAGTGTGCTGCGTCTGTGCCATTCAGTTGCAAATCAACCCCACGGGGAACAAGCACACCTGTGTCTGAGCGTGTGCAAATGCATGGGTGTGTTTGTGAATTTGCAAATCAAATGTATTCCCTATAGCGTTCTTGAACAGCTCCTCGCCGCGCGCCAGTGTGCAGCCACAACAAACACTCCGCCGGGAGAAGCG